CTTCCGATCCTTTTTGCGGAAGAGGTTTTTGTGCTAAAAAGCCCTGTGTAGATGGGGACATTTGTCAGAAAAACCCTGTTTTGTGCAAGATCCTGTAAATCTCATTTTTTGAGGAATAAGGGATCTTGTACACAATGGGGTTTTTCTGACACATGGCCCCATCTACACAGGACTTTTTAGCACAAAAACCTCTTCTGCAAAAAGGATTGGAAGAAAATATGCAGATGAGAGCGCGAGATTTGCAAATGAGTGCTCCATTTGCATTTCCTCTTCCGACAAACGGCCACAGGATAGATGTAGCCTGAGTGAAAATCAACCTGGTTTTGTCTCCTCTAGGATTTTCCGTGGAGTTGGCCTCTCACGGTCACTATCCTGATGGAAGCATACCATGATATCTGCAGTGCTGGCCTAGCCCAGGCAGAGGATTTAGGGTTAGCCAGCCCCTTCCCCTTTTACCTGTCGGGATGGACACTAAATTTCCTGCTCTAGATAAGTCCTCAGCATAACAAATAAATTATTAATTATTATTATTATTTTATTATTAACAATAAATAATACATTTCAGCGCAACAAAGAGGAGGGGCAAGAATGGGACAAAGGTGCCATTTCAGATTCTGGGGCATCACAAGGAAATGGGGAGAGTTGGAGAGATTCCCTCCTTCCCTGTCACTGTCACTCTGCCTGCTCACTCCAGCAGCATGGGGTCTGTCTGAGCCACAGTGGAGTTTATCCACTTATATTTTACCCTGCACCTCCAAAAGAGACGCTGCACTTAGTAGCAATTTGATCTGAAATCTGACTCATTAGGGCTGGAGGTTAAGTATCCCAGACCTTGATGGGAAATCCCAATGGATCGGAAACACAGCACCATCATTCTAAGTTTAAATCCCCCTTTCTGTCCATTGAAAAAGCTGCTTCTAGACTTTTTTCCTTCTGATTCAGGACTCTTTGCATATGGGAAGGTTGCCGGTTTCCCCCTATTCTGTTGGTGCTTCCCTTCCTTCCCGCACCCAAAGCATCTCCTTAAGAATGATGTGCTGTTGCGTGAAACAGGTTTGAATGGATCAGAGAAGAAAGGGATGGGGGAATCTGCTGTCCTGATTTCTGAGACATCAGACATGACCTGCTCTGGAATTTCATTTTATATGACAGAGAAAGTGACTTACGGTGTGCCTTGTTGAGGGTTTCTCTCTCTCTCTCTCCTGAAGGCAGTTTGGTCACATAACTGAATATCGGTTTTGTTTTCCAGGGTGTAGGTCAGATTTATTGAGGACTTTGGGAGAAATGACTTTGCCAAAAGAATAATAGAATCATAGAATTCTATTGTTGGAAAAGACCTCAGGAGTCATCGAGTCCGACCCCCTGCTAAAAGCAGGATCAATCCCAACTAAATCATCCCAGATAGGGCTTCGTCAGGCTAGGACTTAAAAAGCTCTAGGGATGGAGATTCCACCACCTTCTTAGGTAACCCTTTCCAGTGCTTCACCACCCTCCTATTGAACTAGGTTTTCCCAATATCCACCCTAGACTTCTCCCACGGCAACTTGAGACCATTGCTCCTTGTTCTGTCTCCTGTCACCATTGAGAACAGCTTCTCTATCATCTTTGGAACCTCCTTTCAGGAAGTTGAAGGCTGCTATAAAATCCCCCCTCACTCTTCTCTTCCATAGACCAAATAAGCCCAAATTCCTCAGCCTCTTCTCTTAAGTCATGTGCTCCAGCCCCCTCATCATGTTTGTTGTCCTCTGCTGCACTTTATGTCCACATCCTTTCTGTAATGGGGGACCCAGAATTGGATGCAATACTCCAGATTTGGCCTCACCAATGCTGAATAGAGGGGAATAATCACGTCCCTAGATCTGCTGGCAATGTTCCTCCTATTGCACCCTGTCCTGGGTTCAGGATATTAGATATGAGAGGAGCCAGTAAACACCAAAGATAAACTATATCTCTAACTTTATTATACACAGACAAGGAAAGGAAAGAAATGCAGAGTTTCATAAATCCATTCCAATAAATGGGATAGGTAGCACAGACAGGCTGTGTTTAGACTGGCCAGTTTTTCCGGAAAATCAGCTGCTTTTCCGGAAAAACTTGCCAGCTGTCTACACTGGCTGCTTGAATTTCCGCAAAAGCACTGACTTCCTACTGTAAGAAATCAGTGCTTTTTGCGGAAATACTATGCTGCTCCCGTTCGGGCAAAAATCCCTTTTGCGCAAAACTTTTGCGCAAAAGGGCCAGTATAGATAGCTGAGATTTGTTTTGCGCAAAAAAGCCCCGATCGCGAAAATGGCGATCGGGGCTTTTTTGCACAAAACACATCTAGATTGGCCATGGACGCTTTTCCGCAAAAAGTGCTTTTGCGGAATAGCTTCTGTGCCAATCTAGACGCTCTTTTCCGAAAATGCTTTTAACGGAAAACTTTTCCATTAAAAGCATTTCCGGAAAATCATGCCAGTCTAGACGTAGCCACAATGTAATAACACCTACACCTAGGACAGTACCCAAGATATTTAACATTACAGATAGAAGCATACATGTGCTTATTTCTATAAATCACGCACAGTTCCACCATTACCAACTTACAATTATCAGATGGAAGGTCATGGCTTCTTTCTTTCCCAACGCATAGAGGCATCCACAGTGCATTTGCCGGTAGGAACAGGCATCAACTTCTTAGCTGCAGTGAATAAAGTAGTGGGGACCCTTATCATATCCCTTCCACTGATTATGTTTTCTACACCTATATTTATACTCGACTTGGTTGTTCTAATCATCTCTATCAATCGATTACATATTGGTAATTATGTATTGTATAAGACATCTATTATGCTCATATTTGGAGTACATTCTGCTGCACAGGATATTGCTAAAACTATATGCGTAATTAACAGTTTCATGGCTATATTCTGTAATTTTTGCTTATCAGAACAGAAGTACCAGTACAAGGTTGCTTGTTGTGTGTTTTTGATGTGGTCTCATTGTACCAGGCTTAATCTGCATTGTTATGCAAAACAATTCCTGACTCTCACAGCTTCCCTAACCCAAGCCTTGCCTGTGTGCTTCTGTGTACCAGACTTGAGACAGACCTGGGTTGCTTTTCAGGGGTCTGCACTGTATCCAAGGCAGTCGTTATTGTCGAGGCAAGGCAGTCCAGGCTTCCCTACGATATGCCATTCTTGGCTACGAGGGCACACTGTTGATTCATATCAAGCTTCCTATCCACTGTAATCCCCAGATCTTTTTCTGCCAAGCTGCTGCTTAGCCCATCGGTGTTTCCTTATTTAATTTTTTTTCCTTTCCCCTTCTCTGCACAGCAAAGATGTCTAACTTTTGTCAGGTTTTTTTATGGATGGTAATGCACGCATGAGGCAATAGATAGCTTGTTTTGTTTTGTTTTTGGTGGGTTTTGGCTCCCCATTATATTTATGGGAGCCAAAAAACCCAGTTTCCTTTTTACAGAACATTGTCACGGTTCAGCTTTGTAACCCCCAATCTCGGCCATGGAAACCTCTTCTACGCTGGGCGTGGCTTTTTTTCATTTTTGTGACCTTTGGGGTTCCAACCCCCGCATCGCAGGTGGCTCATCACAACAGATATTTTCAGAAAACTGTTGGGTTTAATGGGGCTCTTCTAAGCCGATGACCCAAAGTTGGCCTCACTGGAAATGGATCAGGCCACAGAATCGTCATTTGTCTGGAGACTTTAGGGGAATGACCATAATGTGGGGGCAGCTGGAATCCTCAACCATAAAGACCACAGGAAACACGTTTAGATGCACATTCCAGAACTGCTCTGGGGAAGGAGGATGTAACACCAGCAACAGGCTGTGCCAGCCTTGAGCTGTCTCCTCATCCCCGAGAAAGGCTGTGAGTGTGAAATACTCAGTGTGCAAGCCCGTTGCCTGGTTCCTCAACTGCAGCTCCAGCTCCCGCTGCAGGGGAGTCCCACGAGCCGCAGGGTTTGCCTTACTTGTCCCATTTCAGGATCTGATTGTTCCTTTTGCTGTTTGTTTTTATCCACGGGAGCCGTCCCCAGCCTTTCTGTTCTGCTGTGGTGGCCTCGTGGGGCTGTGCGTGTGCATGTGCACCAGGTCCTATCCATGCAAGGAAAGAGCGAGAGAATAATTCCCACATCTGAACAACCCTAAGATGCTGCCCTAGAAAATTATCGAAGACAATTGGTGAAAGTGTTCAGAGAACCTAAACTGGGGGATATGTCCCGTCCCGTTACAATTGTGTGTATGAAGATCCATATCTATACTAAGATTCTTGTCTTTGGAAGACACCAGGGCAATTGTTCTTGCACAAAAACTTGCCTGCTGTCTACACTGCACGTGCGTTCTTGCGCAAGTAAATTTACAGTATAGCGTTGTAAAACAGGGCTTCTTCCGGAAGAGTTATTCCTCTCCCCACGAGGAGTAAGCCCTCTTGTGCAAGAGCTCTTCCACAGGAGGGCAGTGTAGACAGGCAACAGGAATTTCTTGTGCAAGAAGCCCCTATGGCTAAAATGGC